ATATGCTGCTGAAGCGTAGCTTCAAAAGCACAACATGTGGTGCAACTGAAGTATACTGCAACTTAAGCAAGACAGAAGTTGAATTAAACACAATGGAACAAGCAAAAAAAAAAAAAAACAGCAGAAGTTAAAGGAGATAAATGAACTCAGCGGCGGGCATGACAGGCTAACAGAAAACAGTGGATCATCCTATTAAAACACATCATGGGTCATGTAACTGCAGTCTGTTCACGTATATAATGAACAGACTGCAGTTACATTCAAAGCAGTTTAAAGCACTTAATTAAAAATCCAAGCACCTTTGTAAACCTTGAAAACACTACATAAATTCAAGTATTCTCCAGCACCCATATAGGAACCCTGCTTACAAGTGCTTAATCTTTCAGTCATTTGACCAGGGCACTATATCCTAAATTAAATCCCCAACAATCCTCTTTGCATCTTTCACTTCCTCTTTAAACACCCAAGACTGCATTTAAGTAGCAAAAACAAACCACGGAGCTTAGTTTGTATTATTGACATCAGTTGAATCAGGCAACAATCTTCAGCCCGAAAGACACCGTGTCATTCTTACTTACCTTTTGCAAATAGGGCCAAAGTGATGTGATGACAATAGTGAAACCTGAGAGAGAGCACAGATCACATTAATGACACACAAGCTGTTGAAGATGCTCAACATGTTTTTAGGCTAGAAGTCACTGAAGTTATTTCATGTCTCTTCTAATGGCATCACAGGTCGGAAACCACAGTTTTTCCTGTAACAGTGCTGAGATCATTACTTTGAACGTGAGAAAAGTGTTATATTCCCGTGTCCTCACCTACACTACTGAGGAACATAGTGAAGTACATGACTCTGATGGACCTCCACCGACTTCTGTAGTCATCATCCTGCGAGTCATCGCTGCTGACATGGAGTACAGATTATCCATAAAGGATGACATACCAGCAAGACAATGTAACCTATATGAGTAATGTACGAGCCAGCAAGATATATGGCCAAGTGACAGGTCAGCGTCTCCTTTTTATAGGAGCGAGAACACAGTATGATGAAGAAAAACTGGGTTACAGAATAAAGGTGAATAAAGCTGCTGCACCCACCATCTGACTGCAGTTGCGTGTTTTATTTAGCGACTGTAAATAAAGTCTACCTATATTAAGTTGCTTTGTAGCTTAACTCTGTTGCTTACATACGGCAAAACAGACACAACACAAGGCCAGTAAATCCAGTGCTTCTACAACCTGTTGGGTAACAGTGTAGCCATACTCAAGCTTCCTCTCGTTGTTTTTATTTAGGGAGGTGGCTATCTGGACTTACCTGCTCCTCTCATCCCTGAGCAGCGGGGTGGTGTCGTCGGGTTCAGGTTGAGACATCTTTTAACAAAACACTAACTCTGCGATATTATGACTCCACCCGTGGACTTTGAAAAAGCAAAACAGTACTTTTAGGTCGCCATGTAGTCGAGGGTCAGTGAACGACACTTGCTAACTTTCACCTCTCCCATAAAGCTCCGAGTAGCTAGCTAGCTAACGTTAGGGACAAACATTTGGCCCCTTAAGTCATATGCACGAGTCTAACTGATACCGCAAACCATGATAAACGGTCGTTTTACCAAGAACAAAGCACAGTACGCCACATAAAAACACGCAAAGCTGGACTATGATATCAGTGACAGCTCTAACACGCAAGGCACCCATTATTTAAGCATCGGCTTCCGGTAAATTCTTTCAAAATAAGGCAAATTGAGTCCCAAATAAACTGTGTTCTGCCGAGTTTTTTCTTCAGTACGCTTATCATATCTTATCAAAAACTTAACATGAAATTATTTACATAAACATTAAACACTCTGAGGTGTCTTTCCTTTGTTGTTGCACAGGCTGCGCAGTGTTTTAGACGCTAATTTCGAATAACATCCGTGTTTACTCGACTGTTAGCGCGCACCTTGACGAACCGCGCTCACGTGAAAACTAGCAAACCACCCAAACACAGTCCGAGGGTCACTTGATTGGATCGGCGAGAAGGACGCCGTGCTGCGATTGGTGGATGCAGTTATAGTGCGGGGCTGAAACAAAAGTTATTTAAAGGGCAACTAGTTCAGCTTTAATGTAGAAGAATCTGAGCACAATTATTGACTTTTATATGTGAAAAATTAGAGTAGAATAGAATAGAATAAAATAGTCCTTTATTGTAATTGTACATGTACAACAAAATTCTACAGGAATAAAATATAAATATCAAGACGGCATAAATAAATAACAAACAGGAGAAATATGTACAAAACAAGAGGAATATATACAAAACAATAGAAGGACACACATTAGTGAACAGGATGCAACATGCTTGAAAGTATAGCAGAGGACTTGGTCTGAATATAGTTCATGTGTGAGTGACCTGAGTATTAAGGTAGATCAAGGGTTATGACAGATCACCTTTTAATCTACTCGTGGCACTATTAAAGTATTAAATCACATGAGATTTCAAACTGCAGGAAAATCACTGGAGTTATAAGAGGCAGACAACTAGACACACCACGTGTATGCTATTGCTATTTATTGTGGTTTAACCTGTCAAGGACAAAAATGTAAAGAAAATTCTGCATCAAGCCTTGAAATCATAGCTTTCCTACTTTTGATAAGCCTGGATTGGTAGGATGATGGTTAGTGCTGCTGTCTCCCAGTAAGAAGGTCCTCGTTCAAATCCACCATCTGGCACAAATGGTTGTTTGTCTCTATGTGATAGAATGGTGAGCTGTCTGGGGTGTAACCTATCACTTCAGGATTAGGCCCCAGCCCCCCTGCAACCAGGATAAAAATAGGAGGACGGTAGTTGTTGTAGATCCATTCACTTTATATGGTAACCAGACTCTAGACTTTGTTGAACATTATGTAATATGAAGACAACATGTAGTATTTAAGTGACCAAGTAGTATTGGGGTAAAAGTTATTGAATAGTGTTGAAATAAAATGACAAAATTGTGAAGGATTAAAATATTCCAAGAGCTCAACTTACTTCATCTAAACATGTTTCAATCGCATTTTATGAACCTCTAAAAAGAATGGGTGTGTTTTTCTTATAATTTAAAGGTTTACTGAATTACATATAAAAACATAAACACAGAACAAGGCAGTTCAAATACACTGACATAGAGTACGGTGTGCAAAGAAACGTGTACAGTAAGTTATTGGATGATATACATTTGCCAAACATCTAGTGCACAGTCTCAAGATCAATACAGGTTATGTTTCCACTTTGTCTTTGGATTTGAACCCACATAAACTGTCCCAGTGGTCTTTCCTTGTCATTTTTATAGTTAAGCCTTATTAACATCCTCTCACATGCAGCAACAGTGTTCATCATCTGTCCACAATGGGACTATGCTATATATTTTACAGAATTCAAGTGCAATAACTCAATTCTAACAGCCTATTGCAAAACCTTTGAACTCGTAGCTTATTAATTAAATAATGCTAAGCAAATTATTTAAATTAGTATAAAATAACTCTTATTTAGAACAGTGTTTTGAGTGTGTGCAGGACAAATGTTTTTAAAATTTTCTTGGTTTTAGTCAAAGGTGTCTTTTCTTCCTCACTACATCCACACACCTCCTCTGGTCTTTCTCTGTTTCTCCACAAGGACCTCCTGTTACACAGCTAAAGTCGTTGCATCGTCTGCTCTGCCACCTTTAGTCGTTTTGTCAGTGTCACTGTCTCCAACCCGTACATCACCTCGTTACCACCTTATATACAGTTGGGTGTCTGTTATTGTCATTTTTTAAATTTTTCTGTTTTTACTTTCGAGAATAAATACTGTACATCATGATGTGTCATCAAAACTGATTTAAATATCAATGATGAATGTCATTATCTTGCTAACAGAGTTAGCTTATAAAAACCTCCCCAGTGCCAATAAATATTACACCGCAGTAATTGAGTAATAAACAACAAAACAGTTTTTAACTACTGACGTCTGTTTTTAGTTTAAAAAAATTTTATTTTTATTTTTTTGCAAAAAATACATTTTTTGGATAATTAACACAAACTTTCTCTTTTATAATTAGAGGACCGTCTGGGGACTGATCAGAATCTTTTCCTGTAATTTTACACATTTGTTTCTTAAAATTTAACAGTCAGATTCAAACTGAAAGTTTTTTCCATTTACTATAGCAGTTTCTCTATCTCATGGAAAATCTAGTACATAATGCTGGAACTGCACTTCTTTTTCTCATATTGTGATAAGTTTCAGTCATCGGCGTAACTTTGTGCTGAACATTGGGGGTGTCAAGATCTCTGTCTAAATAAATAAATAAATATATTTGGGTAAATTTCCAGATGATTAAACATGCAACTAATTTGCTGGTAATAACCTGAAACGAGTAAAGAAAATCAACAGTCTATTTATGCAAGGTCATTTATAATTTTATTGTGGAGGTTATGGGTTATTTTTTTGTGGCTTATTTGTGGGGGGGGGGGGGGGGGGGGGGGGGTCATAACCCCCCTGGAAATTACGCCCCTAGTTTGAGTGGTCTATCATTGCCGATATCATTACAATACTGATACTTTTAGCTAATAAACACCAGCTTATGTAGGGGAGATCCGTGTGTCATAATAATTTATGAGATGAATGATCAATTTGCAAGCTCTGATTTTTCATTTTAATCACCATTAAATCACTGTGAGTTTTATTTTCCACAATAATTAGACACACAACAAAACACACCTTTCAGCTTTTCATTAATTTTGAAACTGGGACTTTTATAAATAAAACAGACAAAACGTTCAGACATTTTTATTTTTTCATTTCAAATAAATAAATAAATAAATAAATAAATAAATAAATAAATATCTGACACAATTCAGAGGGCTACATACCGAACAGAGGATAGAAACAAAGTATCGATCCTATCTCGCTGGTAGGCTTCTGACACCAATACCATTTGCGATGGGCTCAGACGGAAGATGTTATCCTTACAGACGCACTGAAATCGTTACAATAAAATATTGTTTTCAGAGTTCCTCCCTCTCAGATGAACATGAAAGTGAAAGTAACTGACTAGAAAGCAGCAAGCTATCGAGCTCGGGGAAGAAACTGCAGAGAAAGAAAAGACAAAGTGGACTCTTTGGGTTGTTGTTTTATCTCGTCCCACTGCGGTCAAGTGAGCCCTCACTATCTCACACTAGTGACAGAGATTTCTCCGTGGAGCTACAAAAACACGATGTGTAGGTTGACAATGATCACTTGTCTTGTTGTTTAGCAGCATGGTAATTGTTAACTAACCCTGGGCCGTCTTTCTGCCATCAACATCAAACTTTGGTTTCTTAAGCGTTGCTGGATTTGAGTTATGGTGAAGAAATTACAACGTCTCCTTACAATTTTCCGTCACCTCCCTTTTCACAGATCGACGGGTGCCAGGTTTGAGTCTCCTGACGCTGTTTATATCTTCCTGGACTGCTGCTCCCAGTAAGTCTCACACACATTCATTCTGCTATTTATCATCAATCTCACTGTTTCATTCTGCTTGTACCTTTAATGTTTCTGATTTCTTCACATTCAGCCACATGTTGTTATTACTTCTTTCGCTAAACCTCGAAACTTTGCTGATACCAAAAATTGACTTCGTTATAATAAGATTTATCTTTCTGTGTTTAACCATCTTTTCCACTCTGGCAGTGTAAAAGATAAATGATGCCAGCGTTATTTATCTTACAGCTTCAACCAACTTGGTGGTTACCACCACGTCTCCTGTCACTGGGACTCGTGGCCATCAGGTCACATTGCCGTGCTGGCTCAGTCCACAGCAAAATGCAGAGGAGCTGGAGGTACGCTGGTACCGTACTAATCGCTTTGACAGCCCGGTAATGCACTACCAGTCAAAAAAGTTCAAATATGAAGGTTCCTACGTTGGCCGAGTCTCATTTGGACTCAAGGATGCAGCATCAGGCGGGCTGAATTCAGGCGATGTGAGCCTGAAGCTGCTGAACGTCACAATTGAGGATACAGGATATTACATTTGTTTGGTCAGCAGCAGCCAGGGTTATGACAGATCCCCTGTTAATCTACTCGTGACAGGTGAGTGACTTAGGGGTGGAAATGTATATGATGTTTAAAGCTTTGCTCTAAAACATCGCATTAAAATGTTCTTCATCTTCCTCCTCGGACCCTTTATCTAGCTTCGGGAAGTCCTCCTTTTCTATCAGTAGTGTGGGGAGAAGATGACAAGGTGAACGTGAGCTGTGAATCTGAAGGCTGGTATCCACAGCCTGTGCTGCGCTGGTCAGACAAGAA